ATACATTATATGTTTAAAAAAAAAAGAAGAAGATAGCAGGAAGGGAAGAATGAAGGGGAGAAAGTCGGAGGGGGAGACAAACCATGAGAGACGATGGACTCTGAAAAACAAACTGAGGGTTCTAGAGGGGAGGGGGCTGGGGGAATGGGTTATCCTGGTGATGGGTATTAAAGAGGGCACGTTCTGCGTGGAGCACTGGGTGTTATGCACAAACAATGAATCATGGAACACTACATCAAGAACTAATGATGTAATGTATGGTGATTAACATAACAATAAAAAAATTTAAAAAAAAAGAGCTGCACTGGGGTTGTGAGGAGTGGTCCATTATATACTTTCAAGTCAGGAGGGGGTTAGGGACAGCGTAAGTCTCTAAGGAATTTGGAAGCAGGTTTCCAGGACCTTGAGGAGGCTGGCTGTTGTTAGGAAAGGGCCATTTACTACTGTCTAGTCAAACCGTAGTCGTGAGACCTTCAGGTGTGTACGGGTGGGCCATGTGCTTGGAGGATGATGGCCAACATGGATCTTGGGGGGTAAAGATAAAGGAAGTTTTCAAAGTAATTTCTTTAATTTTTTTTCTAAATTTTATTATGTTATGTTAGTCACCATACAATACATCATTAGTTTGTTTTTTCTTTAAAGATTTTATTTATTCATTTGTGAGAGAGACAGAGAGAGAACAAGCAGGGGGAGGGGCAGAGGGAGAGGGAGAAGCAGACTCCCCGCTGAGCAAGGAGCCCGATGCGGGACTTGATCCCAGGACCCTGGGATCATTACCTGACCCGAAGGCAGACACTTAACCGACTGAGCCACCCAGACCCACATCATTAGTTTTTGATGTAGTAATTTCTACATGTTAAAGTAGACTCAGGATCCTGGGGGTCAGGCTAAGATTTCCTTTTGCCCTTAGCAAAATATTAACAACCAGTCATCCCTAGAGGAAGGTCACTCTGCCTGTTTCAAGGACTTGTCAGTGGGCTGTAGGTGGTAAGGAAATATAATAGTTTTTCTTCTGCCTTTGTTTCCCACATCAGGAAGTATAGAAACAGAGTAGGAGATATATGGGGAATGGTGAAAACACTGTTGAACACATAAGAATGGAGTTTCAGAAGGAAAGGAGAGACAATAAGGTAAAAGCAATATTTAGAGAATACTAGCTAAGAATTTTTGGAAACGAAAAAAATAATGAGACTAAAGAAATGCCATTAACCCCAAGAAGGACAAATACAAAGCAAACCACATTGAGTCCCATGATAGTGTCATAGCTGAAAACCAAAGACAAGTAAAAAAAGCTTCTAAGCACCCCAAGAAAAAAGATATCTTCCTTCAGTGGAACAGTGATGAGACTGGCTGCTGACTTTTTTTTTTTTTAAAGATTTTATTTACTTATTTGAGAGAGAGAGAGAGAGAGAACAAGCCGAGGAGAGAGGCAGAGGGAGATGGAGAGGCAGGCTCCCCGGTGGATAGGGAGCCCAGTGTGGGGCTCGATCACAGGACCCTGGGATCATGACCTGAGTCAAACACGGACGCTTCACCGACTGAGCCACCCCGGCGTCCTAGGCTGCTAACTCTTAAAAAGAAAGATGATGTTCATTTTTAGTGTGATGAGAGAAAAAACTGCCAAGAAAGAATTCAATACTCTCAAAAATATCCTCAGATGAGGCAAAATTAAGATGATTTCAGGTGATCAAAAACCATGAGCCCTCATTATCAGTAGGCCTGTGCTGAAGGAAATCCTACAGGGGGTTTGCAGGCAGAAGGGAGATGACCCCGATGAAGACACAGGAGGAAGGGAGAGCCTCGGGAAAGATAAACACATGGCATCTCCAAGTAACCCCTGACCGTAAACGACAGCTATAATGCCTACGGCCTTAAAATAGACGTCAGATTAAAATACATTACAATAACACAAAAGGCATGAGGGGGTAAATGGAATGAAAATGTTGTCAAGTCTTGAATTGACTGGGAAGTGGAAAAAAAGTGATTGGAGGTTAACTCCTATGAGACAAGGATGTGTGGCAATTTTGGGAGATGCCTAGAAGCAGCAGAACAAAATGTATAACTGACAGTCTGAAAGGGGAAAATTGGGATAATAAAAGGAAACATGAGATGAGTGTGAAAGCCTGCCCCTCCCCCCAAGAAGCCGGTGCCTGCCCCCACGCCGGCCTGTGCCCACTGCTCCTCATGGGGGCTGGGCTCATCTCTCAGAGACCTCTGCCCTCTGCTTTCTCCTCCTCACTCTCTCCTGCCCATGTCTTCCGCTGAGTGGGGTCTGGGATTTATGGCGGTCTCTCAGACATGAGCATACACTCACTCCAGTTAGCAACCGTCCAAATAAATTATGTTTGCTGAGTTTCTGAGTGATGCTCTCTTCATCACTCATTGCTCTTTGTAAAATCTCACTTCCAAGTATGGATCTACACAGGACGATGGATGCAGCTGAAATTGGGGCTTCCAGAGAAACTACGCTGGAATCTGCTCCTTTCTGGCGGCTGGAAATGGAACCCCAGTTCCTGAAGGTGAGGTGGTGAACAGAGGTGTGGGCAGCACCTTTCTGGGCTGTCCTGCTCTAACTGGTGACATGGGGACAGGAACAGCACTGACCTGCGGGAGCTGCCGTCGGGACTAATTTAATGAACACCTATACAATGTGCAGTGTGGTGTGTGTTGTTAGCAACCTGGGCTTGTGGGGACCGGAGCTACGTTGTCAGGTGCCTGGACCTCAAAGACGGTGGCTGCAAGGACTGCCCAGTGAGTCCCACGCAAAACTAGGTGGTGTGTTTGTGATCCCAGTCTACGCTGAGATTTGGACCTGCCTTAGGAGACAAGTTGCTCTGTTTCTCTGTGTGTAAAATAAGAGTGTGGTTACTTAATGCTTTCTTAGCTATGGGGCTATTATGGACAGTAGATGCTTCATGGTTGTAAAAAGTTGTTTCCTGGGTAAAATTTCCAGGATGACGAAGTTATTTTTAGAATACGGAGTTTGGAATTGACACTTGTGGCATCGGACAGGCAAGCACAGCTGATGGACAGAGGCAGGAAGGTTCGAGTCTCTGTGGCCCAGGAGGAAGGCAGACCTGCAAACCGTACACCAGCTCCCGGCACTGGTCCCAGCAGCCAGGACACACCGAACACGGCAGAAGGACATACACAGCAGGTGTCACCAGTAGGTGACTAAGGATGTGCGCGTAGGGAACACTGTTTGATAGTCATGAAACCATTTGAGATTCTCTTATAGACCAACATCCACATTTGCAATAATTCAAAATACCCGTAGGCTGGCTAATTAAATATGTCATGCATCGCCAATCCCAGGTGAACTGCCAATGTCAAGAACATGGATTGTTCAATATGGGGGCTCTTTAAAACTAAGCTGTAACTTTTCCAGTTCAAGTTACCCTGTGCCAGCTTACCTCCCTAACTTTTTCCTTTCTTTTTTTTTATCTTCAACAATTTGAAGATTTAAAAATGCATAGTAAAAAACAGAAGATAGTAGAATAGAATAGATATTAATGTTGCACAAGAGTTTCTATTCTTTTCTTTCCAGAACTAGAATATGATGGACTGTCCCCACATTTTCCAAAGTATAAGCTCTTCATTACAGCTGCTGACTTACTCTTTCTGAGGATTCCCACCCTCCTGATGGAGTTGAGATGCCTGGAAAGTATATTACAGTTGATGGGTTTCTCAGCTACAACAGTCTTTACTTGTTTATTTCCAAGTATGGACCTCCTAATGGATTATCTGTTGGTTTCTGAAATATTCCATTTGTTATATTTTTGTTTTTATCTGAATACTGTAATTTATTTCAACAATACTGTGATATATTTCAACATGTGAAATATATTTGCATAAAGAGAAATAAGACCTGTGGTGATCAAATTCCTGTTAAAATAAGAGGAATATCATCTGGTTTATTTAGTGCTGGGGATATTCAAGTCACAGATTTAGTCCTGAATATACTTATTAGCTTTTCCTAGACAGACACTTCTGTTCTGAAACCAAAGCCTCTACCTTTAACCCCAACCAACCAGCTGTATACACTGCATGTCATTAGTTACCAAAAAGACCTACTGGAGGTTCGGTTGGGTGGGAACTCTAACTGCACAGCAGGGAAAAAACTGGCAAAATTCAGAGTGCTTCCCACACGCCACATAGCTTCATTAGCACCCACACTTTGCAGATCACAGAGAGGTTAAGTAATTTGTCCAAGGTCACACAGCGACTGAGAGACTGACCCAGGATTCGAATCCAGACATCTGGCTCCTGCCTTCATACTCTTGAACACATTATAGTGTCTCTTGACCCTCTTACCACCAATTGGCAAGATCACGTTTCTTCCGTATTTTCAAAGGATTTGCATAATGGCTAGGTATTTAGTAAACAGCAGTTGAACTGAATTCTTATAGCCAAAGTCAGTATTATCTCTTTATATAAGAAATGCAGAGTATTTAAACAAAAATGTAAATATTAGCATCATATTTCACACTAGCATTCTCCACGGGAGTTTTATGGGTTTAACACACAGAGAGAGGGCTTGGAGACAGAGAATTTCTTTCCTCTTCTGATGGGCCTAAGTGGCTTAAACAGCAGAATTGCTCATTTCTGATACTTACCTGAAGAGGCAAAGAATTATGCTTCCGGTTGTAAGGGAAATCAGAGAGACACTGTAGCCCAGCGTGTAAATGGCCTTCACCAGGATGTAGAACGTAATCTACAAAGAGGGAACAAAACAGCTGTGAGGTTTTGGTGGTCAGCACTGGACCAAGCAATGCTTCCTTCACGCGGGCCCTCGCTGCCTGTCTCGGGACACACCAGACAGCGTCAGCCCACCTCCATTCTGAACCCAAACATTTTATTCTCTCTAAATGCCCACCTATTTCCTTAAAATTCATTCTGAGTGACTGTGTGGAGCAGGGAGAGGGATGACCTGGGGGTCCCCAACTTCGCTCTCTGATCACTATTAAATATGTCATGCATCACAAACCCGAGGTCAACTGCCGATGTCAAGAATATGAAATAAGCTGAAATTTTTCTAAAAAATATTTTCTAAAAATAAGCTGAAACCAGAGGGGGCTTGGAGGGGTGCTTCCCATGAGAGAGCCCCAGAAACCACAGGGGACTGCTTTGAAAATATGTCCTGACCTAACTGGGTTTTGCTGCTCTGGACCCCGTGAGGAGTGAGGACCCAGGGGACATTCCGCACTGGCCCTGATTTCTCCATATCCCTGTTCACACCAGCTTAGTGTAAACTCTAGAGAGGGGATGGTGCCCACCGAGCCGATCCCCAGCCCTGGGGTCAGCCAACAAACACTGGGGTAGGAGGGACGGCCTTACTCCTGTAGCTTCGTGGGGCTTGGCAGCATCTGTAGGTCAGTGGACCCCTGCAGGCTGGTCTGCACCCACCGTCCAGGCCCATTGTTGTTCTTTACCATCAAGGTGATGCCCTTTTGAGGAGAGCTTTCCCTCTCCTTATTACCCTTATTATTGAAGACTCAATATGGGTAATGACATATTTCAGAAGTAAACTACAAAATTTGGAAAAAATGAATTTCTAGTTAATATTTAATGATAAAATGAAATTAATTGGTATAGCCTCTCAAATAGTTCAGGCAATCAAGGTTAGCATGAAGCTTGATCGGGTAAGCTAATGTATTAATCTGATTTTAGAAGGGTTTTTCTTTGTTAAACCTCAAGGTCCCGTTGTCATTCTTTTTAGCTCAAGAAGAGAGGAGATGTCATGCTGGCATTCTGAAAACATCCTTGAAAACTCGAATTTTAAGTCTTTGTCCACATTCTATATTCTGTTCTGAGTGAGAGATTATAAATAGGACTGGGGCATCCTGAGCAGCTTTTCACCATTTTGTCTTGTGATCAGAGCTCACATTAAATAACTGGAAAAGGCAATATTTCAAACCTACCAAAAGCATAGAAAACAATATATCATACTTAATGAGTACATATCATGTATCTAATATACCCATAACATGTAATACAAACTATACATGTAATAACAGATGGTATCTATAATATACCTACCAACAATCTCCAACCAGAGGGATAACTGAGCAGGACGGCGGGGAGACCCCAGGTAGCCGCTTCCCTGACGCTGGGGTGCTGGCGCCCAGGGTGCCTCCACAGGGCGTGGGCACGACCTTGCACTGTTCCGACCTTTCTGATGAGTTCTCTTCTATGCGTGGACTGCACGTAACTTTTTTTTTTATCACCCCTCAGCTGTGTCGTCTGTTATCCAGTATTGGCTTCACGTGTTTTTAGTCCCTCGGCCTAATTGTACCACTGCTCTAAACGGTCAGTCTTTGCTGGGTTCCCTTGTTTGCTCATTCCTTGATTGTTGCTTCATCCTTTCTCGATTCTCAGTTCTTTTTTCTGTCTTCATTTTACCCCTGAAGCCCATTTCCTGGGCATTTTTAATAAGAGTCTGCTGACTGTGGATCCAGTCGGCTTGTTTTCTGACATGTCTCTTTCCCTCGTATTTCCGAGGGGACATTCCTCTTCTCCAGGCCCTGGGAAGGTATCTGCCGCCTGCCCTGTGGCTTGCATGTGCATGGGCCATCGGGCCTCGATCTCCAGCATCTTCTGGCAGCTGTGGGGTTCTCTATGTATGTGGGGTGGTCAGGCTCTCCGAATTGGACAACTGGTGGCTCGCTCGAGCTGTCACCCACTGCATTTTCTCCGGCCAAGCCTGCAGTCACACTGACCTCCTGCCCCGAGCGGTGCTGTCTCCTGCCCGTCCTCCCGGCTGCAACCGCTCCTGTGCTCTTGGAGCCCACACTCCCCATCCCAGAACTCTGGTACCTAAGTCTGAGTTCCTGTGTCATGTATCTTCTTGACTTTCATGTTTAGGTCTATTTTTTCCCTTATAAGGTCTGGTAAGAGCATCTCGTTCCAGGTTTATATTTTTAATTTCCACTTTTTTTTTTAACATTTCAAATGCACTTATTTGCATTCTATGCCTGATGACTCCATTATCTGAAGTTCTGAGGATGTAATCTGTTTGTCATCTGCTGACTTTCACTCACAGTGGCTTTTTCTTGGTGTGGTCTGTGCATTTGGAATATAAGCTTGTCTTCGGAGTGGACCTATGGGAATTTGTAAGGTCTTGGCAAAGATGCTTCCTTCCAGGAGCACCTGTGTTCACTTCTGCCAGGTACCCCCCCACTGCTTCCATTCAGGACTCCTTACATGAGTGTGTCAGCTCAGAGCTGCCATACCACGCACAAGACAGAAATGGGAAAACCCAACCTGCAGGAGGGCATGCCCGTGGTGACAGATTTTTAGATTTCCCTCCTGGAAAGTGAAGTTTCCCTGTCACATCCATGGTCAGATTTTTGGTCTAGCTCTCAACTCCAGCCGCCCACCACCATCCACACATGCATGCTGCTCATCCCAGCTCTTCATAATGATCCAGCAGTTGCCCCAGAAACCACCCGCCCCTGCTGCCTGGCACCTGATTCTCAGCTCTTTTATTGAGATTTTTTTTACTTTCTTGAAATCTCAGCTGTGCGTTTTAAAGCAACACTGTTATACTTTAGCATTTTTGAGTGATTTGTACTGGGAATTTTTTACCTCCAATTTCTTATAGAAGATTTTTATTTCTTGCTGAACGTATTTGGTATCACTGGTTAATTTAATTCATTCTGTTCAACGCATTTACTCAGTGCTTAATTGGAACCAGACACTGAGGAAGGTGTCTTGGGAACAGGATGAGTGGGAGAGAAGGGTCCCGCCCATGAGGAACTCATAGACATATTTTCACCACTGGACTGACTGTCCCAGGAGATAATGCATGAGCTAGTAATTGAGATAGGTATAAATTAAAACATTTTTTCTGTGTTCACTTAAAAAAAAAGAATCTCCACATTTCAATTTATATTACTTTGCTTAAAGATGGTTTAGATTTTACATTTCTCATGTTTTCAGTCATTTAAGAAGGCTTAATCTGGTTATTTGCAAATTGCCTCTGTTAAGGGCTTTGAGAAGCAGAGTACACTCCAGGGCAAGGTAGAAACCTCAAATAAAAGGCAGCACTGGGGAAGTTTTACCAGAACAGAACGCAAAACAACCACGTAACAACTGAGCAACGCCAGAACCAAGGCTAAAGGCCACAGAATTATGTGCAGTGCTTAAGAGACAGGAAACTTTCTCACAGCCAACTTTTAAGAGAATGAGGCATATCACAAGAAAACAATCTGGGGTCTTTGCTCAAGGAGGCAGGATGAACAACTTTTGGGGTTTTTCTGTGTACATCTAAATCTCCTGTATTGCTACCTATGTGGACAGAACTGAAGACTAAGAATTACTGTTTAGAACACGAACCCTAAAGAACCATGTGGAGTTCTCCATCTTTAATGCAATTTAAATTTATTTTCATTAGCAGTGGCTAAAACCAGCTACGTGGTTTCAAGAACTGCACAGTGGGTCTGCACGGTGCTTTTGTTTCTGGGCTCCAGGACCTTCCCAGCCTCTGCCTCCTGATCCAGCTTCCTTCCCCCACCCTCAGAGACCTGCTTTCTCCTCTTGGTGGGGCCATGATGTTAGGATCCATACCAGTGTTTCTCCCAGTGTGACCCCCCAGACCAGCAGTAACAGCATCACTTGGGGACTTGTCCAAATGCAAACTCTCAGACCCCACCTGTCCCTGCCTGCCCCAGGACCAGAAGCCTGCAGTGATTCTGATGTGGCTCGTTCCAGAACCTCTGGTCTACACCACAGACAGAATTAAAATGTACATAAGACCTTTCCTGTGCCTGCCCAAAACCCTCCACAGAGCCCCTTTGCTTGTGAGCAAAACTGTGTGCCCTCATGAGGCAGCTGCCAGCCCCTCCTCACACTCGGGTCCCTCTAACAAGAGGGCAGCCTCCGCTTGCTCCCTTCATTGCTATGCGCAGGCTGTGTCTTAGCATTTCCACCCTGGTTCTCCTACCCACCGCTCAGCATTCGTATCAGGGCCCTTCCTCTGGGGACCTGCCCGCCCAGGCTCTGCCCTGCCCTCACCAGGTCACACTGTGGTGGCTGGAGCTCCCTGAAGCAACCAGTCTTGTCCCGTCTGCACCCAGCCCCCAGTGGGCCGCCGGGAACTGGAGATTGCAAAGCTTTACGGTTTTCAGACCTCTCCTTACCACGTCACCTGATCTGTGGTGAACTAGGAGGCTAGCATGATGGCCTCTGCCCAGCAGAAAGGGCAGCCACAGTCAGAAGGGGGCACTGGATAAGTGGGAAAGCACATCCTAGCGTTGGAGGATCCAGGTTTGGACCCCCGGCGCTGTGTCATGTCTCTGTCCTTTGCCCATAAAACAGGAAAGACGAGAGTGACAGCACTCCCTTTTTGTTAAGGACACTTTTACTTCATACTCGTCCAGGAAGCTGACAGTAGCAGGCCCTGAACTTTGGGGCTTCCGCTGAGGTTTCTCACAGCAGCGTCTGGGGTTACATCAGGATGAGCGGAGAACTCATTAAACACAGCAGGTAGACAGGCGTGAAGTGACTGAGCGCGGGGCCTCCAGAGCAGAAGACAAGGCCATCCCTGCCTAGTGGACGCAAACTTCTTCCAGAACAAGCTCTCCTGGGGGCTCTGATCTCTCAGATCCTGTTTCTTGCACCTCTTCCCCATTTTCCTAAGACTACAGAGGGCTCAGGCCCACTCAGCTGCAGTTCTGCTCTCTGAAGGCCTCTGTTCATGGGGCATTGATAGGA